AATTCTCCTGCCTGTGCAACTTTCTGGCTTCCCCTGGGCTGCTTCCATGCTTTTAGTAATTGAATTTGTTTAATTTGAAATGAGTTTTGTGTAAGTAGAGTCCCTGAAGAAAGACCACCATCTCTGTCATCTGCAGACCCCAGTGAGGGCCAGTCAGGAGGATGCTGTTTGGGAAAGACCACACTGTCCGTCTCTGGTGCACGATGGGAGTGGAGGGCAAATAAACCCGATGCCTCCCTGAATGATGCAGAGCTTTGTCTTTACTTTATTGTCTTCTAGGCAAATGAATTATGCAGGTAACCGTTGGAGGCTGTAGAAGTGATGGCTGTAATAGAGACAGGAAGAGGCAGCGCAGGTAGATGGATAGAGTAGGAAAGTATTGCACCGTGAGGAATGAGAAGCAGAAGGCCGGTGAGGGAGGGTTTCCCAGCATCAAAGGGAATGTGTGTGTGTGTGCTGTGCGTGCGTGTGTGTGTGTGTGTGTGTGTGTGTGTGTGTGTGCGTGTGTGTGTATTTGTGTGTGTGCGTGCATGCGTGTGTGTGTGTGCGTGCGTGTGTGGGGGGGGGGGCTTCTTGTCAGCTGTGGGTGGCGTGTCTTTAGTGGGCACTAAAGCCATTAATCACATTCGCCGTTTGCCACAAACGCGCCACGCATGCAAGACGCCTCACTCGGTTTGTCCCCAGATGAAACCACAGGTGCAGCTCGCCGGGGTGGAGTTGGACACGTCCCGGCCTGAGTCCATACGAAGCTTGTGTGAAGAGTACACACATTATGATGTTGGAGTGTTCTTGGCTCGCCCAGCCATCATAATTCATGGTTTTATTCCCTTTGGCATCAGACCTTTACACTGTTCTCTCTACAAAGGCTAATTGGACGAGCCACAGAAGAGGTTTTGAATAAGAACGAGCGCTGTGGCTTAAAGGTCCCTAACTCACCTAAAACAAGCTGCTCCCTCCAGTAAATCAGCAGCAAAGCGTCTCATTAGCCCGCGGTGTTGACGTTTGGTGGCTGTTCAAACACAGGTGTGTGTCTGGTGTCTTTTCTCACATGTCCCTCCCGACTCACACAGGCGTGGCGCCCGTAGCTTAACGCAGAGCGGTAGCTGGAGTCATACAGAGTCGTGCCTGAATCACCGCGGTAACCAACGTCCTCTCATGTAGACATCAGTCCCCCTTTAGCTGATGTTTCTCACAGCTCAGTGGGCGTGCACAGGCAGCGAGAGCTCGTCACTCATCTGGTAGTATGCTTCACTGGCAAAGTGGCGGATGGCCGATAGAAATGTAGGAAGTTGTCACAGAAATGTTTCCTCCGTGGCTCCTGGAACATCCTCGGTGCTGCAGCGCTGTTCACTGTGTCCTCCACTCACATGTTGGAGGAATAAACTCAGATTACGCAGATTAAGGAGGTCCAAAACCACGGAGCGTTTAAAAAGTAAAGGTCAGGCCGGTCTGCAGCGACACTAACCTTAATGTCTTTGTCATTTCTCTTGACTCGTGTGTTTGTTCGGGGCGGATTTAGATGTTCTGCCTCGTCGTTTTCATCCAGCTGTCCGTCTCGGCCTCTCCTACACATCTTCTCTGTTTTTACCTCACTTTCCACCTCTTCCTGTTGAGCCTTTTGCTTTATTTGCACGGTTGACTTTAACACAAGTCCCTGCTCTCCAGACTTGAACTGGAACTACTTCTGGAAGTGGAGTGCGTTTGAGGACTACCTTCTCTTCTGCTTCGGCCTCACCGTGCTGTGTGCTGTGCTCACCCTGCTGCTGCTGGACTCTGTTTGTGTTTGTGGGAGACTCTGGGCTCGCTGGCTGTGATGTTCGAGGCCATGCTCGGTATCCCACAGCTGCTGCAAAACTTCCACCACCGCTCCACCAAAGGAATGAGGTGGGTCTCACTCAGGTGCTCCTCAAGAATCAGTGCAAAGCTCAGAGGTCGCTAGATGAGCGGTCATTGTTTTTTTATGCATATTTATGTTAAAATAATGTTGATCCTGCTGGAAAATAACAAACCTTTAATTGTTTTGAGGAATTAAACTGTATAAAAGCCAGATTTAACTCAAAAACGCTGATAAAATGTTAATCTGAACCCCTTTTGAAATTAGAAGTGAACTTTTTCTTCTTAGTGACGTAAGCGGGTCAGAAAAATGTCACCATGCCTGATTTCATGTATTCTCCCACCACCAGAATTTGTTAAGAACTAATCGTGACCTAGTCATCAAGCTGCTAACCCGAACGTCATCGTGAAGTACTAGTTCAGCTGTTCTGAGCTGAACTGAAGTTGTTGACAAGATTTGTGCAGAAAAAAAGCTGCAAAAACAAAATGGCATCCTTTTATTTATTTTGTTATTTTTAAGCTATTTTATTCTCATGCAGACTTGATTCTGTCCTCACTTGTCACAGAAACTCCACTTTTGGAGCTTTTTACCGTGTTACGCGGTTGCTTCCTCATGAGAAATGCCTCCACACCCGTTTCCGGATGCACACACGCGTTTTCCCTCCTT